GCAATAGGAAGCTCTTGAGGGGCTGGAACAGAGTAACATATCCTTTAGGGTTTGGCACAGTTTCCAAAGCTTTTCCTACCCGCTCTTTGTGGTCTGAGACCAGTTTGGTAAAGCAGGCAACTTTGGGGTTCTTGTCCCAGCCTACCAGGTCAGATCACTGAAGTGCCTCCAGAACGATCATGAGGAATTAGAAGAGCGAGGATGAGGGTCCTGTTTTCTAGATCTAGAATGCTCTGCCGGGAGATCTTGCAAAAAGTGAATGGACTTGCCTCTGCCTGGACTCTGTAGAGGGAAACTTGAGAAGACAGTTTTCCAGGTTTTCTGCTGCCCTACCCCCTGCTGCCTACTACAATGTCCTGCAGTGCATGGGTCTAAAAATTTCCTCATCAGAAAGAGCTTCTTTGGGCGCCTGGGTGGCTCAATTGTTAAGCATCTGCCTTCAGCTCAGGTCATGATCCCAGGGTTCTGGGATCGACCCCCACATCGGGCTCCTTGCTCCGCGGGAAGCCTGCTTCTACCTCTCCCACTCCAAAAAAAAAAAAAACCTCTCTGGCTGTGTCTCTCTCTGTCAAATAAATAAATAAAATCTTTAAAAAAAAAAAAAAGAAAGAGCGAGCTTTTTTTTTTTATCCACCCAAGAAGAATCACTAGCACTTACTTACAAAATCCTTTTCATACATTTTTTTCATTTAATTCCCATAATAATCTGGTGAGGTAACTACCTATTTATCAACATTTTATGAAAGGGACTTGAAGTGGTTGTTATTCACGGCACACAGTAAACAAAACCCGAATACAGGTCTTCTGTGATCCCCGTTTAGTCTTCTCTCAGCTTCATCACAATGTCTCTCTTGGTCCCATCCGTTGATACTACTCTCTGCACGGAGACATCACAACAAACTTTTCCCTGCCTTTGGGTTTTCCTGCTCATTGGAGGGCTGATTTTGGATGCCTTCCTGGTCACTGGAAGAATGAGCAAGGACCCTCTTGGGGGCCGTATTCCGGAAGTCATACTTCTAGGGAGCCCAGAGCTCAGAGTTGAAATCCTTTCTCTGGCATATCCAACAGACGTGGGTAGATGGATGGTGGCCAGTGTTAAAATTGTGGCATTCGAAGAGGGCAGAGGAATGTGGCTGGCTCCCAGCCTCTTATTTTCCCATTCTACTGGAAGGTCGTGTTCATTCGAGCATTTAAACCAAAAATAAATTATTGTAATCCATTTGCTAATTATACCATGCTGAAGTTCTAGACGCTGTAAATTGCAGCCCTGATATATCTAGATGAAGTTTCTGGGAGTTTATTTTTAGCCATTCAGAAAGCACTCAGTTTCCTAGAGGCTTCATTTGCAAGTCTAGGAGGGGATAGGGACAATGCATCTGCACAGTCCTTGCCCTGTGACTTAGATGGAGTCATTTAACCTCTCTGGCCCACCTCCGGAAAAGCCCGTGGTTGTAGTAGCTGACCTTGAGCCCGCCCTATCTGTCTTCAATCTCTAACTCATTGTGTGACTATGGAAACTAGAATGTGTCCAAACATAGTTCTTCCCTACCTAATTCATCCTGGAGAATGCCAAAAGCCACCACCCCAACGTGTCTGTGAACCATAGAACACGGGCCTTCAGAAGCCTCGGGCTCAGAGGATGCATCGTCCCACTGTTCTTGGAGTGTGAAGAGAGGAAGGATTTTATGTATATTTAGCCCCTGCTTTGTACATAAAACACTGCTGGGTGCTTGCACATGAGTGATTTTTGGACAGCCTCCCCCCATTCAAGGCCAATGTCATCCTGTTTTGGTCAATTAGACACTCATGAACCTCTGTGTGCCAGGCACTGGGCTTGATTCAGAAAACATCACAAAGGTGAAGTGGATGGGATTCCTAGCCCCAAAAAAGACCAGAAGGGAAGGTAAAGCATGACATAAATATGTCGAATTGCCTTTTGAATTGCAGTATTAGCCACAGATGATAAAGTTGCTGAGTGCCGTCAGAGATATCCCAGACATATTTTTGCTTGTTGGGGGAGGAGAATCAGGGAAGGCTTTGAGGATGAAGAGGTATGTGAGCTGGGCTTGACATAGAAATCGGATTTAGAAATGTGGGGGTTGGGTAAGGGAAATCAGCAGACCTGGTTTGTAACCTTGGAAACTGCCCTGGCCACATCACAGGTATGGCTGTCCCTGACTAGTCAGCATTCACAGATGCCTAGCAGAGCACATTTCTTCCCATACACCATGACTTCCAGCAATTTTTCTCCAATTGTGACATAAGTATATTTTTTCAGAGGGTGAGCATAAAAAATCCTTTGGAACAATTTCTTTGTTTGGATGCTTCTAGTATCTAGACTTCTGTATAAACAATCTTTACTGTATTTATGTTCTTGGACGGATGGTTGGGTGTGTGGTCAGATGGATGAATGGATGGTTTGGTACCATTGCAGAGCGCCACAGCAATTAAACTGGCTAGGCTTGTGGGTAGCTTTATGGGAAGAGCGGGACACTGCAGCTGGGCCTGGAACAATGAACAGAATTTCTTCAGAGCACAGTGTGGATAAAAGTCTTCCATTTCAAGAGCAGCAAAAATGGAAGTGTGGAATGCATGACATGGTGGGAGAATGGCAAGTGGCAGAGGCCAGGGTAGAGGAGGGTAGGGTGAGTAAATGTAGTGGTGGAGAGCACAGGCTTTGAATTAGACAGATGGTGGTTTGAATCCCAGCGCTGCCGCATCTAGCGATGCTGAGCGATCTTGGGCAAATTCCACTTCTTTTCTTAGCTTCTCCTTTCTCACCTGTAAAATAGGAATATGAATAATACCTTCCTTAGTTGGTTGTTGTGAAGATTAAATGCAATAAAGTAATGTCTAATACAGTGATTGGCGTACACTTAATATGAACTTAATACATGGTAGTTTATGGTTTTTATTTTATTGAAACAGCTCTCATTAAATTATGAAAATGCTGGTTCAAACCACAGAATTTAAGGAGGGAGAGAAGAGGGGGCTCTTTACTCTTATATTTAAGGATGAGGCAGAGAAAGAAGCAGCAGCAAAAGAGACAGAGAAAGTCCTTAGAGGAAAAAGGGGAAGCAGGAGGGTTTCCAGAGGAGACGGTGATCCCGCCGGCCGAGGGTGCAAAGAGGCCCCCCAGGTGGAGAAGTCTCTGGAATTTGCAGTGATAACATCATTATGATTCTAAGAACATTCTGGAGACGGTGATTTGTGGGGTAGAGGAAGTAGTATTTTAGATGACTCTTGGGAATTCTCTCTGGAAGGAGAAAGAGAACTTGCAGTGGGATGGGACAAGGTCATGGGAAAGGCTTTGTTGGATGAAGGCTATTTGAACTCAGCACAGTGTTTCTCTACCTTTCTAAACCCAATCCTCCATCTGATAGACATAAACACTAGTGTCCCCCTTCAAGATTCTGATATTCTGGCACCCACGACCCAACACTTATCTTCAGCTCCATTTGGGCATCATATCTGCCAAGAAGATCTTGTCTGGACTTACTTCTTATAGTTGTATTTTTAAAACAGTAGGGATTTAATAACTCCCTTGGAATGGAGCAGGCAGGTGAGAAACGATGTGGGCAGGAAGGGTGGTAACAAGGGCGGATCTGAGATTGCACTGAGCAGGTGTGGGGGGGGTGGGGGCAGGAAACAAGGAGGGAGGGATCCTGCGGGGCTGGCGTAGAGGACCGAGCAAGTAACCACACCAGCCGGCGTGTGTCCCTTCTTTATGTTGGTCCTCACCTCCACCTGCCCGGGGGACACCTCATGGGTCTGACAAGAGTAGGAAGCCAAATGGCAGATATGGTCATCGTTTGGAAACTTCAAATGCTCTGTAACTCTAGGGTATCATTATTAATAGTGTTATAAGCAAGGAATAGCACGTCCAGCTCTCTTTCTCGTGTGCTCTCTCCATTTTCGTCTGCACAGCTTCTAGGTCAATGCCATTCTAAACGACAAGAGCGAACTCACGTGGATTACGTGCATACCCATTTACAGATAAGGAAATGAGTGTGTGTGAAGGTTAAAAAATAAACTAGCCCGGGATAGCACCCAACAACTGGGGAATACATGTTCTTTCCAAACACACAGGGAACATTCACAACAATGGGCTACATCCTAGGCTCTATAAAATGCATCTCAATAGATTTTAAGGAATCAGTATCCTAAAGCTCACATCCTCCCAGCACTGTACAATTAAGCTAGAAGTCAATAACAGAAAGGTGAGTTCAAAATATATAGATAGAGGAAGATTTACAAAAACACTTCTAACTCCCTCATAGGTCAAAGAAGAAATGATAATAGAAATTTTAAAATACTTGTAAGTGAATGGTAAAAGAAATATTAAATGTCAAAGTTGTGGAAGATAGCCAAGGCAGTACTTAAGGGAAATTTATGAACTCAAAATGCTTGTATTAGGGAAGAAGAAGGGCTGAAAATTAATGAATGGGCTAAGCTTCCAATTTAATAACAATAATAAACATAAATAAATAAGATAGCCCAGGGTTGCACAGTTATAAGTGGTAAAGACAGGATTTGAATATAGACATGGGTGGCTCCAAAGCCCTCTCTCTCTCCACTATACCATGAACCTTTCTGTGTGCTATTTTCCATAATATGCCCTGTGCCTGGAAATTCTGTTTCTCCCTAAGAGTAAAAGAGATGAGCCTGTAGGGTAAATCCCCTGCATCAAAGGTTAATGATAAATCCTGCTCATTTATTCATGTATCCTTTTACTCATTCAGTCATTAAATACTTATTGAGCATTTGCTATGTGCCAGGCACTATGATCTCTACCTTAGTTGCCTTTCCTCTGAGGGTTCAAAAACCAGTCTTGGGCCTGGGGCCAAAGCCTCCACTGCTGCTGCAGCCGCTACCCACCCCCTACCCCCCACCCCACACCCCACACCCCTGCCCCTCAAGCTGCCTGAATCTTCTCTGCTGCTTGTCAGAACAGCATCCTCATCAAAAATGACTGATTTCTCTCTTGTCTCTTTCAACAGGTAGACTGAAATTACCATGTGTCCAAATTAAAATTGCATACTTGAAGGATTATTTGAAGGACTATTCTTAGACCCTTTTAAGAAGATTTAAAGAAAAGTGTTTTTTTTTTTTTTTTTTCACTTCAGAGAGTATTCATGATCTAAATTAATGTTATGGGTGATTTTTTTTCTCTACCTCTTAAATATGCATTATTAGGTAGACTTTATCTCCACTTATTTTATAATACCTTTTTCTCCCTAAGAACAATGAGCACGGAGTACAAGATTACTGCTTGCCTTCTCTATAAGATTTTAGTACCTTTCAAAAGCTTATGGCATCTTAGAGATGAAAGGGCCTTAGAGCTATGGGCCATTTGATAGATGATAGATAGATGATAGATAGATAGATAGATGTAGATTATAGATATTTGGCCCATGCTTGGAAGCCTCCAGGGACTGAAGAGGAACTTGGTATTTCCCCACATTTAAGATTTTTATAGAATTCTTCCATAATCTGGATTTGAAATCCACTCTTCCTCACAATGCCAAGCCTTCTTCTCCTTCTTGATTAGACAGTCCTAAAAATGGTTGAAGACAAAGATCATGTTTCGCCTTGAGATCTTTTCTTACTCTTTGTTCCTTCAATAATAATAAAAAAAAAAAAAAAATTCCTGCCCTGGTCACCTTCTTTCCAATCCTGTAAATATCTCCTTAAAAAAAAAAAAAAAAGGCACGCCTAGAACACAGAGCTCGACTAGTGTCATTTGTCCTGGGAGATCCATGAGAACTGAAAAGAAAGAAACCCAAGACCCGATTTGGGTGGCAGGCCTAGTTCTGTTCTTGCTGTGCTCTTAGGAAAGTCCCTTCATCTCTCTGAGCTCAGAGAACGCAAGGAAGGTAGGGTAAGAGGTTCTAAGACGTTGTCCCCCTCCATATGGATGTGTCTGTCGACTTGGAGTCAGGAGGTGGCTGCTTCTCACTGTCCCAGGCACTGGGGTGGGCCAAGACTTGGGGATCAGTGGGACCTGGGTCCAATCCCAGTCCTATCACTTACTGACTTTGTAACCCATGAGCTTGTCCTCTCTGAGCATCCATTTCCTCATTTGTGAAATAAGGATACTAATGCATGTGGCACAGGATCTGTGTGAGGTGTGCTGGGATAAGGTACATAAAGCAGTTGTTACCCGGCATGTAGGAAGTGTTCAATAAATGCTAGTCCCTATTCATATTGTAAGTAGTGAAGGAGCCACTTACTTGTAGCTGGAAAGAGGGCAAGAGGTGGTAAGAACTCTAACAGGACAGAATATGCGAGCATGCTTATTAGGGATAGGGGAGAAGTGTCCACATCCTGTAAATATTCATGTGGGCACAAGCTTAACTCTGGGAAGTTTGTGAAATTCAAACTCAGAATTGGAAGGATCGGTTGCTCTGGAGTATAGCATCAAAAGGGAAACTTTTAAGGTGGGTCTGAGGAACAACACAAATTCTGCCCACCTCTGGCTGTTGCCACCGCCTCAGTCTTAGACAACAAAGACTGCTGTCCCCAGGAGGGTCCTTAGACCCCCACTAGACCTGGGGAACCTTGAGAATCCTCAAACAGTGATGTGTGTTCAGAGTTTGAAAAGGTTTTACAAACTGTTAAGTGCTCTACACATATTTTGTATTACTTGTACATTCTGGGATTTTCAATACTTTTGGAAATCAAGAGGGTAAAACTCTGACAAGCAGAGTGTGGAATGAACCAGTAGAGTCCAGCCCACAGATTTCTTGAGTAGAACAGCATGTGAACATAACTGCAGAGAGAGAGAGAGATGTACCCACACATGTGCCTGTGTGTCTGCTCACGCGTGCAGCTGTGTGAGAGAGAGAGAGAATCTCTGAACGCTGTATGTGTGGTCACCGTGCTACACAGTGACCAGCTGCCTGGAAGGAGAATAACATAGGAATGAAAACTCGGGCTGTGGCATCACTCTGTAACTGCCCAGCTGGGTGACCTTGGCCACATTTTTAACAAAAGTGCCCATCTCTGCCTTCATGGAGCTTGAAGTCTGTGGACAGGTCTCTGAGGGGATGAGAGTCAGTGTAGAATTTTACCCTTCACACTGGGCGAGTGCCCAGGATGTATGAGTGCCCTTCTCCCGGGGTTCATGGAGTTTATCAGTTTAGGGAAAGTTATTTTGACCTGTTGGATTAAAGGAACTTCCTAGAATGAAGGGAGGTAAGTCGGAGGGGGAGACGAACCATTAGAGACGATGGACTCTGAAAAACAGACTGACGGTTCTAGAGGGGAGGGGGTGGGGGGATGGGTTAGCCTGGTGATGGGTGTTGAGGGGGGCACGTTCTGCGTGGAGCACTGGGTGTTATGCACAAACAATAATCATGGAACACTACATCAAAAACTAATGATGTAATGTATGGTGATTAACATAACAATAAAAAATTATTATAAAAATTAAAAAAAAAAAAGGAACTTCCTGAGGTATCTTGGATTCCACAGGGCCACGGCCTCAGGGTCCCAGGCCACGCCCCTAAGGTCCCAGGCCACGCCCCCAAGGTCCCAGGCACCTCAGTGGATGGAGAGCCCTCATGGGTGAACACACCCTCTAGCCCTGCCAGAAAGGCTAATTGCAGAGGTGTCCCACACCTCAGCCATCCTTCTGAGCCCCCTCCCTCCACCTGGTTTTGGGGCTGGAAAATCTTAAATTCAGAACTGGGAACTGTGTTCTCCTATAAGGCTTGGAACAAGGATTTTTCCTTTAACTTGGAAATTAAATATAGCCAACATGGCTTTTGTTCTCCAGACAGCTACCGACCTTACACACATGGATGCTGCTGTAGGCTGATGCTGTCGTGGGTGCCACTGGTCAGAGGTGCCCCTTTCGGGGGTATCCAGACCCAGGGAAGACTGCATAGTCCTGTTTTGTGGGGTTTTTCAAATTGTATGTTGTCTGGCCCGTTAGTGAGTCATGCAATTAATTTGGTGGTTCAAGACTGTCATGTATTAAAGTGAAACAGAGTAACCCAGTAACCCATAGAGTGAGTGAAGATATGTATTTTATATATATTCAACAAAGCTCTTGTATCCAAAATAGTTATAGCGGGAAAAAAGAAGAAACTCCCACAAATCCGTAAGGAAAAGGCAACCTAATAGAACAAAGGCAGAAGACTCAAACAGAGATATCCAAATAGCCAATACGCATGTGAACACATGATCAGTTCTCAGAGAATTGCAAATGAGACCCACAGTGACCAACTACGGTAAATGCACGAGAATGACTAAAATGAGAAAGATACATAATACCAAGTGTTGCAAAGATGTGAAGCAACTAGAACTCTCCATGGCTGGTTGACGTGTAATTTAGTATAGTGACTTTGGAAAAGAGGCAGTATCAAAGCTGAACATCTCCATACCAGTGCTTCCATTCCTGGGTACACAGCCATGGGGCATGCACACTCATATCCACCACAAAACGTGGCCAGTGGAATGGATAAACTGTGGAGTATCCACACAATGGAATATTGTACACAGCAGCATCCATGACCCTCACACACATAATGTGGGGGAAAAAAGGCAGGCATTAAGAACCTTTTCTACATCTCTATAAAGTACAAAAACAGACAAAACTAATCTGGGCTATTGGAACTCAGGACAGTGGTTACCCTGGGGGGAGGAGTTGGTAAAGGGGAAAAGGCAAGAGGGAGTTTTCAAGGTCCTGGTAATGCTCCATCTCTTGATCTGAGCGCTGGCTACGTGGGTGTTTTCAATTGTGAGTATTCATCTGGCTCGTCATTTATGACGGGTACACACTGCTCTCTTACATCATGCTTCAGTAAAAGTTTGTAGAATGAATTTACACGTCATAATTTATAAATGAACATAAAAGAATAGAAAATACCAGGTAGTAAGGGTAAGCATAAGTAAAACTTAAGTTCCATATGTGTACTGTATGTGTGTCTACATTGGGTTGTGATGTCCATTGTATTTCTTACTGTGAGTCACAGCCCAAAATCTTGAGAGCCACTGGTTTAAGAGGAATCTGAGGCCCAGGCAAGAGGGGAATTAGCAGAGCTAGGAGGAGAGCAGAGCGGAGAAGATGCTAGGTCTCCTTCTGCTGGTTCTGTGTCTCTCATTTCCCTGCCAATTGGTGGCATGGCGCATTCCACTGAGTAGGCTCCGTCTGGCACCTTCGTCTCTGGGAGGCAGTCCTGTGCTTTCTGTCCAAGGGGAGCGGTTGTTTTTCCACCCACAGACGGGCAGAGTCTGAGGCCCAGCCACCTCTGCAGGGGCCTGGCTCCAGCTCCCCGAATTCCCTCCCGCCTCCTTCCTGCCTCTTCTGCCTGATCTGCTTCCCTCAGAGCTCCGGAAACATCACTGCGCTCCATCGTGTTTTCATTTGTGTAATGTGACTGTGGTGCCAAAGCTATTTTATGGTTGTACAAGTTGGAAAACTGTGAAGAAAACACACTGGGAGAAGGGGGTCCAACAAAGCATGCTTCGGTCCTGGCTTTGTGCTTTTCTTTGGTTACGAAGTGGTGGAGTCCATTCACCAGACCTCTCCTGAAAGGCCGGGGGTTCCCAGCCTCTGAGGGTGTCCGATTGGCAGGATGCAGCCCGGTCCTGGCCAGGCAGAGCTTCACAGAGGAGGGAAATGTTCTGTGGATTTTAAGAGGCCCAGTATGAACCTCACACAGGGCCTGGAACCATCTTAAATAGGAGGGATGTGTAACAGCAGTGGCTTTCCAGCTCCTTGGACTATGACCCACGGCACAAAATACATGGGGCGTCTTCACTCAGGACACAGCCCCACTCACACAGGGAGATGGGTGCGGCTTAGGACAGGAGAGCCCAGATCTCTCCAGGAGGGGCATCTGGCCCAGCTTCAGGGATGGGGAGCCAGAGGGGGCCTCAAGAGGTTCCAGAGCAGCCAAGAGCTCTGAGCTGTGGATTGGGAAAAGGACAACTGCAACAGGCCAGGTTTGCTCAGCCAGCAGCTGAGAACCTCACTCGGAGGGAGCGGTGTTGTGCTCTCGAAACTGCCTGCACTTCTGTGGAGTTGAAGTTGAGGGTACGTGTGGGGAATGTGGGAGAGGGTCCAGAAGAGGTGGACAGGGACCAGA